TTCACCAAATTTGATGAAGTGGAAGCCTTTACACCTGATAAAGAAAATTACTCTCCCTCAACCGTAGGCCTGACTAGCCTCGGGGCACTCCAGATTGAGTCGGTGGCATTTCACAATCTCTGAAAAGGTGGCCTAGCCTGCCACATCTGAAAAAACATTTCCCCAAATGTGAACAATCTCTAACCATGTGGGTTTCTCCACATCTGTAACACTGCACTGACTGTGCTCCACCTTGACGAGTAGCAGGACGAGGTCCCTTACTAACAACACTCCTCTAAGACTGAACATGCCTGTCTTAGGGTCCTCTCTGCAAACTTTCTACATCTCCAAGCCTCAGGTACCCCCTAAGAGTAGAAACGACCCAGATGCTCGAACCTCATAGCATAATATGGAACATACATGCTCCCCTACTGCAGTTCCAGCCTCCTTAGCATATCTAACACTGTTCGAGAAATACTTCTCCAAGAAAACTCTCTTGAAGCAATCCCAATCTACAACCACACCTCTACTCTCTATCATCTACCTGGTTCCTCTCCACTAGTACACAATCTCGCCCGCCAGCATGTATACTGCATAGGCCAACTTCCTCTTCTCAGAAAATCCCAAAACACTGAAGATCTTCTCATCTAACACAACCAAAAATCTGTCACATCGGGATCTGAATCCCCCTTGAATTGAGGAGGCTAACATTTCCTGAACTCTGCTAAATCTCTCCCATACTAAGAGACCACCGATCTAGCTGCCTCAACTGCAACTCTACCCGCCTCCATCTGAGAAAAGTGAGCACTTTGCTGCTGCATCACCGTGGCCATCATCTCCATAGCCCTGGCGATCTGATCAAACTGAGGCCTCACCATACTAAAAGAATTCAAACATTCTTTTACAAACACTTCACCACTACAACTCCCCAACACTAACACATATCAGAGATATGACACAACAGAAACCTAGAAGGATCACTCCTCACAGAGTATCCCAAAAGAATCGACCGGCTCTGATACCATAAAAGTGTAACGACCCGTCGTGGTCCCTACACTTAGTGGAATCGCACTACTACTAGTGAACTAAGAGAAATATTAAGTTGGATAACTCATACATACAGGTATAGATAAGAATAAAATAACTAAATTTTTTTTAAAATACAAAATAGAAGGCCATATATGTACAATAATCCCAAAAATAATATTTCCTAGTGTCGGTCAAGCACAAACAAAACTGTTACCCAAAATGGTAACCCTAGCACGAGGATCAAACTCCTTGTCTCGCAGCGGTCACCTCAACTCCAACCTAGCCCTGACCTGCCCCCATACCAAGTATGATCATCGCAGTTCCACCACATGGAAACAGAAGGGTAAGCTAGAATTCACAAATCAATCATACAAGTATTGAACAATAATCTATACTACATAATTTTCCAACTATCAATCATATTCATAGAGTCACACCAAACACTCTATCCAATACTACTCATGCATAAGATACAATCCACCAATCATGAAGTCAAACACCACACTTCATCATATTAATAATCATGCAATAAATGCATCTCATGACAGATATCAATGCATATCAATCATCTAATGCGTCGTCACGCATACACCTAGGAGATCTCCATAACAACAGAGTTGTATAAGTGACATTCCATCTTACCGAAACCACCCCAACCGTTTTCACGCCCAATGCGCCCGCTCGGTCACAGCTAAACAGGATATATAATCCTCACTCGGGTTTACTCGGATGATGTCACTTACACAATTGGAAGTCCAGATCCACCGTCAGGTATAGCACAGCTGGGTACGGGCTTACCACGACCTTGGCATGCATAACCAAGTCAATTGTGGAGTTCGCCCACCGACTATCCGCAAGGATCCACGCACGTTCCCGAGTACTTGGTTAAGGGAATAACCCTCGACCTCATACCCCGCTCCAACACTAGCTAAGGACTTAGAGGAGACTCACCCAACCCAGTGGCCTATCTGAGCACCACTCTCCCAAATCCAGTGGCCTCCCTGAGCACCACTCTCCCAAATCCAGTGGCCTCCCTGAGCCCCACTCTCATATATCAGTGGCCTATCCAAGCACCACTCTCAAGAGACTCTATGTGAGCTCTTCTAGTTCAAAAATATTTTTCCTCTCCTCAAGTCCTAGGCTAGACTCATGCCATAAGGCATCACATGCAATTATGCGTCATACATCATACATGGTCTGTCCACCATCATGATCAACAATCATACACATGTCATAAGACATCACATGCAATAGTGCATCATACATCATAAATGATCTAACCATCATAAGCATCAAATCATTCATAAACATATTCACGCCCGGCATAGCCTGAGCTCGCCCAGCCTAATCCCAACTTGAGAGTCCTAAGACTCATCCGCGCCCAGTGCGTTCAACTCACGCTCGGTGTCCTTGAAATAGAGACTCCTAAGAGTATCCACGCCTGACGCAACGAAATCACGTCTAGCCCAATATGCAACCCAAGAGCCCTAAGCTCTTCCACGCCTGGCGCGCTCAACTTGCGCCTGGCCTAAATCCCCGTCAGAGAGTTCAAAACTCTCATCCAAACTAACAAATTCAGCCACATGCAAACACAAAACACAATGCATAGGCTCCATACAACTTAAAATAAACTTAAATCTCACATGCATCCAACCTATGCATCAAAATCCTCCTTTTTCTCAAAACCCCAAAAATGAGATTTTCTTCAATCCATCTATGGATTCTCAACATTCATGCACCTATTGAGTCTCTAAACTCACATGCAACCTAAACAACAAACATTCTAGCTTCCCTCACCTGAAGGTTGGCTCAGAATAGCCAACAACTGTGACGAAAAAGAATTCCCTTCCAAAGCTCAACCTGGAACTTCAATCATCCCAAAGCAAGCTTTCTAATCCAGAGACCTTCTCTGTAAAACTTCTCTCTAAAAACTCATTCTCCTGAAGGCCCCCGAACCCCTATTTATAGACATTCCGGAGTGGCCAGAACGGCCTGTTCTCCTTCAGTAGTTTGGAACGGCCCGTTCCAATTTGGGAACGGTCCGTTCTGGCTACTGAATCATTTTTTTTAAACAATGTTACAAGGTTGGTTCCCAAGCTTTTTCACAAGGGACCTTTCCTGACAGTGTATTCATAACATACCCTTTCAAAAACATTTTATGCATATGATGCATGGAAAACATACTCTACATAACATTCACAAGATTTCATAATCTCACATTTAACACATTCATCATGTCTCATTAATCATCACATGCCTTTATATATTAATCAACAAAGTTCAATTCACATCCATATCAGTATTACACATTACAAGAGTTATAACATAGGGTTGAATAGTGGAACAATATAAGAATTACAAGTAGGACAACACCTAGTAGCAAACTCCCTATGCCTAGCACGAGTCCTCTCTAGAGGACCACACTGGTTTCTATCTGAACTGCACCCGAAATGACCAAGTTCACGCCCAATGAGAACACCATCGAGAGCTCTCCAAAGTGTCCACGTCCGATGAAAGTCAACTCACAGCAAAAGATTTATAGGGAACCCTTGGAGCTTTCATGCCCCATGAGGATCATCCCATGCCCGCGTGAGAGACCCCAAGAGAAGACCTTGCTTTCAGCCTTAATGACACCCGACGCAACTCAAGTAGCACCCATCGACGTATTAGAAATAACACACATAGCAAAAAAGGCATAATTGTAACTTGCATATCAATTCACCAAAACATGCCATTCAATGAGTAAAAGTATTATATAACGAGTAATTAACATCCAATATCATCCAATTCACATATACCATTACTATCCTTTCCCTATCATCACAACAAGTTCCCTTAGAGTTTCCCATGGGAATCCACAAGGACATAAATGATGTAATTTTCCATCCAAAACATGAAATTAATATTCCATTCAAACAACTCATGCAATTAATTATGAGTGAGAAGAATAAGGAACAAAATAGAAACACTAGGGGAAACACCTCATTCATAGGCACACAACATACACAGGAATAGGGATCAATCCCACTACCTGACATATAAACCCACACTCAGAACGAGATTTCTCACTCCTCCTTACCTTATTAAGTAGAAAAAGATGGGTGCATAACTCCAGGGTGATCTCCTTCTCTTTCAGGTCCCCCAAGCTCTAAAGCGTAAGCACGTACATGAAAAGTGAGAACGTAAAAATTGATCAACTCTTTTTAAAACTTAACCTCTCTTTATAACTCTCTAGTTGAAACATACTAATCATAGTTATCCCAAAGATTCATTCCCTTATTAATAAAATATTATATCATCCTTTAATAAATACCATATATTATATTCTAAAATATATTATATAATTAAAATAAATATTTAACAACTCCTATTAATAAAATAAAAATATCAAAATTATTAATAAAATATTTATATTATCTTTTATGAAAAACGGGATGTTACACATAAAGTTATTTTTTAAAAAAATCCTTGTCCAATTTACTTATTTTTTTTAATATTTTGATCCTTGTTATTTTAATTTATTTGTTATATATATATATATATATAGGTTAGTCTTTATAATTTCTTGTTAATTTTGAGCTAATCCATGTAAAAATAAATTGGAGGGGACAATTATTAAATTATCCACATATTACAAGGATAAAAACAAAGAAAAATGAGTATATTAGAAAGTAACAAAGACCAAAATAATTTTTTTTACAAGTATCATTTAAAAAATGATTTTATAAGAACAGAACAAAACATATATATTATAGCACTGAAATTATAATTAAGTTTATCTTTTAATATGAATTTTGGTGACTATATTAATGGTCTAAATCAAATATCAGTCTAATTTCATTTTTAGGTAAAAAATTTATCACTATTTAAAGCGTGGAATGTACTAAGATGTGAACTATTGCTAGTTTACCAATATATTTGTTTTCAAATTGTTTGTAATAATTTTATGTCTTTTTCATACAAAGTGGAACATTTGTTGTCTCTTTTTGCAGGTATTAAGCATGGAGTACTTCCTCATGCCTTTTATTAGATAAGGATGTAGTTGAAGGTTAAAACAATGTTCAGAACATATATATATATATATATATA